ATTTTTTTTTCCTATTAACCAGAGATTGCTTATTTGAGGCAGCAAGGGACCTTATAGGGGCAGGCACAAGGAGGTTATTTTCGTACCAAACAATTAAATTTATCAAATGGACACATTTAAATTTTTATGAATTTGATTTCTAATTGTCATTACATATTTATTGATGGTGACTTTTAGTTATAAAAAAATTGTTTATAACATTAAGTTATGGCAATTTTTTTTATATAGTATTTTTGTATTAGATTATGTGAGGCCCCAATTTAAGTTTCGCACAGGGCCCTCAAAATCTCAGGGACGGCCCTGTTAGAGCCCCATCGTAGATGTCTTATCTAATTCAATACATGGGGCCTGAAAATAAGGTAAATTAATGATTGAAAAAATGAGGGTATATTATACTTGTTTAAGGTTAGAGGATCATATATTTTTCATTATTATAGTATAGATTATTAAGAGTGTTTGACGGAAAATGGCATTGACTTGCATATCAGTGATCTCAAGTTTGAACTTCCATAACACCGTGGTAGTATGTGTGTGAGAAATTCCTCTCTCATTGCAGTTTAGACTATCGCTTATATTTTTTTAAAATAAATTATTTCACATGATGCAAATTAAATGCTCTTTACTGTGCAAAACAAATTAAACACTTGAGCGGAAATTACATTTTCTTTTTTCCTTATTTCTTCACAAATAAAGTTAATTATCACAAACATACCAAATGTAGTGAATGTTCATGAAAGTTGGTCTTTAGTACTTTTCGTATCCTGTAATTATCACAAGGATCCCAGTTACATAAATCATTTTTTCTCTTTGGATTACCTTTGCTTGTCGAGTAGTTTTTTCCTTCATGCAATACCAATTAAATTACTAGTCAATATTAAAGTGGAAGTGGAGAAGCTACAAAGTATTGAGTTCATCAAGGAAGTACATTATCCCATGTGGCTAGCAAACGTAGTAATGATCCGTAAACCGAAAAAGGGTTGGCGCATGTACGTATATTACATCAACCTCAATCGAGCCTGTTGATGCCACAGCGGGCCATGCCCTTCTTAGCTTTATTGATGCCTACTCTGGATACAACCAGATTTTCATGCACCTTGATGACCAAGCCCACATATCCTTCATTACTGATCAAGGTTTTTACTGTTATAAGGTGATGTCCTTCGGCCTAAAAAATATCGGAGCTACTTATCAACGCCTCGTGAACAACCTTTTTTCCCCATTGATCGGCCACACCATGAAAGTCTACGTCAATGACATGCTAGTCAAAAGTGGCACTATTGACCAACACATCCCTAACCTATCCACCGTGTTCGCAGTACTGAAGCGATACAACATGCGACTTAACCCCACGAAGTGTGCCTTCGGCGTAGCTTCGGGTAAATTCCTTGGTTTCATGATCAGCCAACGTGGCATCGAGGCCAACCTAGAAAAAATTCAAGCCATCTTGGACATGAAGGCACCAAAGACGGTCAAGGACATCCAAAGTAGAGCTGTCTGGGTCACAGTATCAATAGTAGTCCCCCAAGTTCACGAGTAAGAAGGTACTTCTTGCTTGGGGATTTGTAATTTTAAGTGCACTGGCTGAGCAACACCATAGTTCATCCCTTACAGTATAGATTATTAAAAGTGTTTGACGTGGCCAACAGGTCATTGGAAAATGGCCTTGACTTACATATCAGTGATCTCAAGTTCGAACTCCCATAACACCGTGGTAGTATGTGTGTGAGAAATCCTTCTCTCACTGTAGTTTAGACTATCGCTTATATTTTTTTAAAATAAATTATTTCACATGATGCAAATTGAGTGCTCTTTATTGTGCAAAACAAATTAAACACTTTGAGAGGAAATTACATTTTCTTTTTTCCTTATTTCTCCACAAATAAAGTTAATTATCACAAACATACCAAATGTAGTGAATGTTCATGAAAGTTGGTCTTTAGTACTTTTCGTATCCTGTAATTATCACAAGGATCCCAGTTACATAAATCATTTTTTCTCTTTGGATTACCTTTGCTTGTCGAGTAGTTTTTTCCTTCATGCAATACCAATTAAATTACTAGTCAATATTAAAGTGGAAGTGGAGAAGCTACAAAGTATTGAGTTCATCAAGGAAGTACATTATCCCATGTGGCTAGCAAACGTAGTAATGATCCGTAAACCGAAAAAGGGTTGGCGCATGTACGTATATTACATCAACCTCAATCGAGCCTGTTGATGCCACAGCGGGCCATGCCCTTCTTAGCTTTATTGATGCCTACTCTGGATACAACCAGATTTTCATGCACCTTGATGACCAAGCCCACATATCCTTCATTACTGATCAAGGTTTTTACTGTTATAAGGTGATGTCCTTCGGCCTAAAAAATATCGGAGCTACTTATCAACGCCTCGTGAACAACCTTTTTTCCCCATTGATCGGCCACACCATGAAAGTCTACGTCAATGACATGCTAGTCAAAAGTGGGGAGCTCAAGAGAGGCCTATGTGCACCATGTTCAAACATGGCTTACAAACTGCTCGGGTTACATGACTTGGTATGACTATTATATGAATCTAGATACTTGTTCCTCATTGTTTGAACCTCATAGGAGCTCTTCATATTTGTAGATGGACACTTATCTAAATTGTAATCCAATGTTTAAGCAAA